ATCAAAGCATTTGAAATCCCGGCTTGATTTGGCTTCTAATGGATGTGGATTATAAAAAATCAATATGTTTTCGCAGATTTTCAAATCGTCAAACTTTTAATTAATTATTTGCTTCAAAGAAAAATGATATCACTGAACAACGTTGCCCAATCATTTGTTATTCTTAAACAAATTCTTAAGAATGGACAATTCAGTCATTTTAATTTCAGAAGCATAGTTATTATGAAAAGGCAATTGCTATATTTAATCAAAAATGTATATCTCTATTCAGCCAACAATTCCAAAGAGGCCTTAGTACACTATAGTCAATATAAATAAATATTGTACTAGATATTTAATTTGTTTGCAATTATTCTAATAATATAAACAATCTATTGTTAGATACTTCTTTGTGTACTTGTTCACAGGAAATTTGAATAATAATTAAATTTCCTGTGCAGGAAATTTAAATAATATTTAAATTTCCTGTGATTACATGATACCTTATCCCTTACATGACTATTCTTGCTAGGCAGATATTAGGATTTGGTAATTCAAGAATATAAAACAACAGAAAATAAAGTAAAGTAACAGCCTTTACATGTCCCACTGCTGGGCAAAGGCCTCCTCTATACAGAGGGTATCAGGGCATAGTCCCCACGCGGCCCCACTGCGGATTGGCGGACTTCACAATCTTCGAATTTTAGTTATTATTTCGAAAATATGCAGGTTTCCTCACGATGTTTTCCTTCACCGCGGAGCATACGTACCTACATTAATTAAAAAACAAGACAAGCTAGCGGACGTTCGTTTTGGATGTGTGCAAAGTGGCCTAGCTATCAATACGTCAATTCAGTTTCATTCCATGCAATTCCCACCAGATTTCAGATATAAAAGTACTCTTTGATTCCCACCATGGAGGGCAAAGTGATAGGCAGAAACGTATTTTCGCGCTCGGTAAGTATTTTTTTGATTAACGTTTATGCGCATCATTACACGAGATTGATCAATGTTTCTATACAGTTTTTACCAGTAACTAGTTAATATCTTTAAGATATGTTTTTGAGAACTAATTATCTATTTTGCATATGGATATAAAATAAGGTTATACAGGGAGGCTTTTCTAAGTGTATCCATTTTTTTTAATTAAATTCTAGACATAAATAATGTTATTGAAAAATGAAAAATATTTTAAATCACTCGTAAGTAATTAATTACATTCATTTGTACTTATCTCAAAAAGTGGGTGATTTATTCGTATTTATTTTACGCCCGATCATTCATAACTAACACGCACACAAGTTCGTTTGTGTGCGTGTTAGTTATGAATGATATATATATTCGATATTTTTTGTTCATCCAAAAAGTGCTCATGGTGCTAAAGAAGTTTTCACTTCAAAAACTGATATAAAAGAAACAGGCACCCAGCTTTTTGCATCCGATTTGATTTAACGTCGACATCCGAGCTCAAGGAATCGAAATTGTATCGTAATCAGATTTAAATGTATCTTTTGGTGTGAAACTCCTTTACTCTTTCTACTGCAATCAAAAATAAACAATTTTCCCGGTGAAACCACCAAGGTGCACATTAGCGAGATTAGTAGACTGAACTTAACGGTGTCACCTAAAAATGGCGTCGTTAAGTTTTTTTTTATCAAACGCTAGATTTGACCTAAAGCGCCATATTTTTTTAGGGCGACAATCAAAACTCATAAGTAATTTTACGTCAATATGTTTGTACCCACTTAGTCACATTTTCATACCATCTTGTAATGCATAATTTAGCCGAATATATTGTGAGTAGTCTATTCTTATTTCGAGGGAAATTTCAATATTCGTATCTGTATTAGGGAAACTTTAAACAGGAATTAAATAAACTTTAATTTCTTAGCGAACACTTTATTTAAACACTACAACACTATTTTAAATTTGACTAGCGACCCGCCCCGGCTTCGCAAGGGTATCTAACAAATGTTGTTAACAAATGAAATTTAATTGAAAATTATCATACACACATATAAAAACTTCTGAATATTTCATCTTTGGTGAAATTTTATGAATTTCTTCATCTTTAAATGAAATACCCTTGAAATTACATCGTGACGATCGAAAGAGCGCTGACCAGATAATAAATAGTTTTTTTATTTAAGGGCAATTCGGGTTTACAAGTAAAAGTGATAAATAAGTCAGGTCTCCCGTAGTTTCGGACATGAACCTGTGAATTAATGCGTTGACCGATATTTTATGGGTCAACATTTGCGTCTTGATTCAAAGCGTCTCAAAGATGAATGTTACATCAGCCCTCATTCTCTGGTGATTACGACATCATATTGAGGAATGGTCAAATAGTAACCGTGCAACACTATATCTCTGGGACCTTTTTAGGGTTCCGTACCCAAATGATAAAACGGGACCCTATTACTAAGACTCCGCTGTCTGTCTGTTCGTCAGTCACCAGGCTGTATCTCATGAACCGTGATAGTTACACAATTTAAATTTGATCTGGGTGCTTGTATCCCAAGGAGAGTAGACGTCAGGCAGGCGGCTGGTTGTAAAAATATAGCCAAAATCGCTTAAATTATTGATGTTTCGCCGACCCCACCTAGGTGAGATAAGATGGTTGATGATGACTTGTTCCTCTATTTTAAAAGTAGGTATTAACTGCGACTTCCTCTTTGGATTGGTAAAGTTAGCAAAAATTTATGCTTATGGTATAATATAAAACAAGTTATATATAAAATAATATAACAATAATATTAAAAATGAATAATAAATATTATAATAACAATATTGAAAATGTTGATGTTGTAGATGAAGTTCTAAGTGGAGATGGAGCGTAAGAAATACTCGTCCGTAAGTCAGGCGAAGTCGACAGATCATCGTCGTGGGGCTCTTTCGATCGATCGTCCGCATTACCATCCGCAGTGTTATTGCATTCATACAACCTCGCAAATAAAGAATGTATGTATGCAACACAATTGCCTCAAATTAATTTTGTTTCATTTCTGAATTACAACATTGAGTTTATTGTTCTTACAGTTTAATACGTTTAAAAATTATTTATTACTTTAAAATATGAAAATGACACCATTTCTTTTATTAAGTTTTAAGTCACTTCTCACTTATTTTGTTTTCTATAACAAAGATAGATCAATACGAAATACGTTTAAACTCCACAGTTATTCGTTTTATTTCACTATGTTGATAAAAATTATTTATTGGTTCCTTCCCAAATTGATAAAAGTTTCATAAAGCTATATAAGCTATAGTGTAAGCAAGGAATATAGAATGCGGAGGTATTAAACAATATTTAAAACCCCATATGAAAAATTTCACCAAGAATAGCGAGACATAATATTAGAAACATCAATGGATTGAACTAATAAAAGATATTTATTTACTATCCGGCCACAAAACGAATTAATACTTATTTGCCGACTCATCAATCTGAAGAATCGTAGAGGAAACGTTAGTGACTTTCACGGAGCACACAGTACAAGGGAATGCTTTCAGGAAAGGCCATTGATTCAGAGAAAACTTCGTTACTTTTAAAAGCTTTAAGATGATTGAAATGTTACGAAGGAAAGTGATTGCACGTACACAACGATTGAGAGATACACACACATTAACAACATGGCGAATAATCTCTAGGTACTCCATACACTATCTAAAAGAAAATTAAATTCTATTTTATATTACCGCATAGAAATTATGTACATTATAAAAATATAATACGATGTGCTATCTTATGATTAAAGATAGATGCGAACAGACACAAAAATAGTAAAAATAATAATAATTAAAAAAGAAAATATATGTACCGTATATGGACCTTATAAAGACAAGCTACTATATGCTACTAAATGTTCCATTATCATCTAAACAGAAGGTATGTATCATTATTATTATTAGACTTTCGATTATGTGAATGCATGTGGGTATTTGTAAATCATAACGTGGGAACTCAATACTGAAGAAAGGTCAGTCTTGGTTCACTCGTGCTCTTTCGTTAACGTGTAAAATTAACCCAACTCAAATATAGCGCATGGTATTATGAAATTAAAGTAAAATTATAATTTAAGCAAGTTTTGTAAATTATTATTCTTACGAGAACTGTATCAACGCAATGGAGTTCGTATTACAACCGCCTCAATCGTTTATTAAACGGTTTTATTTAGCTCGACCCGTACGGAATTTGTTTGTTTGGTTCAAAATTAGAAATTGAAATTTAAGCACCTTGCCGTTGTCAGATTGATCTGAAATTTGGTACACACATTTAATTTAGATGACAATACAATATTAACAAAAAAAATTTAACAAAAAAAAAACAAACTAAAAACTTAAAAGTTTTTAAACGGTTTTATTTTAGAAAATAATTTAAGTAACTGTTGGAAAATGGATTTAAGAATTTTTTTTTACTCAGGCAATATCCTGTTTTAAGGCCTTGAACTCAAATGACATCGGGTAATATATGGAGAGTGCGGAAAGTGGAAGAAAGCATTCTTAATATATTATGAAGCCTGTGAACTTACGAAAAAGGATCCAAAGGTACAAATTAACATTCTTCTACTCAACAGAAACTGCTTTCCGAACCGGTGGTAACTTACGAACATATTAATTTCCTTGTAAAATTTCGACGTTTCATAAGAACGCGCAAGCGTCTATGTGAATAAAGATATTTTATTATTATTTCGGGGTTATTATTATTATTAATGCCCATACCTCGGTGACTTCGCCACGGAGTCATCAAAAATTTAAAACCATATATGAAGTGCTGTTAAAATTCGATCCTTTCTTTCTTACACAAAAGAACATAACGAACATAATAAATGGCAACTACAGAACATTACGTTTTTGAGTTGAACAAGATAGCGGCAAAATGTGAGTTTTATGATTTATGCCAGGACTTAGTTCGTGATAGACTTATTTGTAGGATAAGAGACGGAAATATAAGAGAAAGGTTGTTAAAGGAACCTCGCTTAAATTTAAAGAAAGCTGTTGAAATATGTACTCTAGCCGAAATGTCAAGAGCTCAAGCTATAAACATAAAGTCAGAGAGGTTGGAGAACCACGTTAATGTATTTAAAAATAATGCTGAGCAAGATGAAGGAAACGCAAAGATCAACTGGATGAACCATCTACGTCGCGCCGGTGGTACTTCGGGCGCTGCACGTGCAAAGCATGCCAGTGGCGGCAGCAGTGCAGCGCGCACTGACAGCAACCCTCGGGAGCGAAGGGTGAAGACTATCCGCACTTGTTGAAACTGTGGTGGGACACGAGATAAAAACTGCTGTCCCGCCTATGGTCAACAATGCCGCAAATGTCACAGCATGAATCACTATTCACGTCCGTGTAGAGTGCATGGGATTGAAGAAGACTCCGGCGATCAGGTAAATGAAAATTTTAGTAATAACTGGTCAGTAAAATTGCAAATAAATAATATTTTTTTAAGTTTTAAGTTAAGGATACTGGGGCCGATGTGAGTATTTTACCTAAAAATATATTAATAAAGTGAATGTTAATGAAACCGAATTAGCGCACACCTCAATTAAATTACAAGGTTGCCTCCCCTGCAGAAAATAACTGCTATCTTATCCGGAGCAAAATATTTTAGTAACGCCAAAGGTTTTGGCAAGTAAAAATGAGTCTTAGGTATTTGGCCCATTTAAATTTGGAAATATTTCACAAAATGTTGTACTATTTGTTGATGATTTATTAATTTATGGTAATACAAAAAGAGATAATGAATGACTTCGAACTCAAATTCACAAAATAACTTAAAATGTTGTATTTTTATACCGAAAGAAGTTGAAAATTTCTTAGGCTTGGCTACATTCGTTAGTAATTTTATACCGAACTTCTCAGAGCGAATCTCGATACTGCGTGAATTATTAAAAAAAAGACGTAGCACTGGAATAGCAGGCACGATCAATGTTTCAAGGATGTTAAAAAATGTTTGATTAATCCACCTCCGTGTAGAGAAACCAATAAAAAAATTCTGTCGTCGCAAGTAAAATGTTCTAGGAGCCTGTCTGATGCAATACGAGTTACTACTTGTCTTATGCATCTAAATCACTAAATAAAACAGAACAATCACAAAATGCAGAAATAGAATAGAAGCAAAAATAGAAGAAATAGAATATACGCATGTGTTGTTGCATGCGAAAAATTCTATTCATATATTTATGGCCGCACAGATGCCACAATAGAAACTGACCATAAACCGTTAGTCAGTTTTATCAATAAGCCTTTAGTGAGCGCACCTGCACGGTTACAACGCATGCTTTTACGTCTCCAACCATACGAATTCAAATTTGAAATTAGTGTTCAAGCCGGGTCGGTATCTTCATCTTATATCACTGCATGTAATCCGTTGACAGACTCGCATTTTCTCTCTTTAGAATTAATTAATGTTGGCCATGTCATAAAAATGATGTCAAAGACGTCATAAAGCCATTTTGACACTGTAGAGATGCATTATCAGTAAATTTTGGCACAGTGTGGATAGGTGATTAGGTTTGTCATACCGAAATGTATAAGGTATGATATGATTAAAAAGATTCATTTAGGCATTGAGAAATGTAAGCTTAAAGCTCGCGAGGTTATGTACTGACTGGCCAAACATTAATTCTCGGCTTGAAGATTACCTTTCGAATTGTCAGGCTTGTCTGACGTACAAAAAACGCAATTATAAAGAACCTTTCATGCCGCAATTTCGTAATTCCGATTAGGGCGTGGTCTAAAGTAGGCATTGATGTGTTTCATTTTGGAACGAAATCGTTTTTATTAATTATAGATTATTATAGCAAAATTGTCGAAATTGTAAAGGTTCATTGCTTAAAATCAGATTTAATTGTCACAAAATTTAATTTAAAGTTTTTGTTAGACACGGAACACCAGAAATAGTAATGACTAATAATGGTCCTGAGTTTTCATTCAAATCATTTCATGAGTTTGCAAATGAATGGAAGTTCTGGCATGTCATGTCATCACCCAGATATCCTCAATCCAACGGCCAAGTCGAGCGTGCTATACAAATGGTTAAAAACATTATGAGAAAAACGGCTTTTAATCAAGGTGATTTTTCTAAAAAGTGTGTGTGTCTTTATGTACACGCGTATGTAGTAGTATGTAGAAGTTATAAGTACTTCTTTTCAAATATCTTTCCCCTTATTCTACGTTTGTATAAAAAAAGACACTAACAATAGAAAAAATTTAATACATTGAAAGTTTACGCATTATAATAAATAAAGTTTATTTAAACATCACAAAATAAATATCGTGAACATAGTTGGCAGTTCTCACGCAAACACGTAGATGTCGAAGTAATTTCAGGGTGTTGGTTTCTCGTGACAGTATGCGCGCGCATCGTAAAAATTTACTCTCATCACTTTTCCCTAACGCGCCAAAAGTAGAATAACTTCAATAAGTTTTTTAACAAAAAAAAAAAGAATCGACTTCAAAAGAACTCTATTAGTAAGTAATAAAAAATTTCAAATAGGTACTTAATCAAATCTTGAAAATATATCTCTAAGAGACGCATTGTTCTCGCTGATCGCCGTTAGTGATTGCTTTCTAAGAGGGCGTTATCAGGGTAAAATGCGAGCACAAAACACAATGATCACAGTTTTGCATTATTTTAATTTAGTTTAAAAATGTTTTGTCACTTCACAACAATGGGCATCAATCTTACGTTGACTTAATAACAGGAGCGGGAAACTCCTATACTATTATACATTATACAAAGCCGATCGAGTATTTTTTTAGCGACATCTTTCTTATAGGACCTTGAAACAAATGTTTTGTTTTCTATTTTTTTTTACTAGAGGTCACTATATAAGTGATATAGTTGTAATACAATGTTATAAACTAGAAGAAAGGTGAAAAAAAATGTCATTAAACAATTTTAAAATGTCCGTTTGATGTTTTTTATTTGCGTGTGCGCATTTATTAATTTTTCTTTGTTGTTCTTTATTTGTGTTTGTGGCAGTACGAATTGCAAATTTCTTTGAGTGAAAGTGTGTTTATGGTCGATTTGAAGATTTTTCCGCTAAACTTATCTTGGACGCGATTAATTAATTTTTGCGATATTTTGGAAGCTATTAGTAAGGTAAGTTTTGTGTTGTAACTTTGCCTATTTCTAAACGTTGTGTAATTGGATGTGTGAATATGGGTAATTTTCATATTCGATTTTGTATAAACTACTTATAAATTTTAAAGTTTTTTATAGTGCTAATCTCTGCACTTAAGATTCTTTTATTTTCTACATGTTTTAATATTCATTCTTAAGTGCAGAGATTAGCACTAAAAAAACTTTAAAATTTATAAAAAGCAATGGCGACATCTCTCGTTCGAATTATCGTTGTAAAACGATATTCGGAATTGTTTGTATGCTCAGTGGCTCGAGCGTCAGGCCGCGAATACCGAAGACTTGGGTTCGATTCCCACAGCGGCGACGATCTTTTTGTACTTTTTCTACATGTTTCAATAGACTATTTATAATATTAATTTTTTTTACCACATCAGATGTATGTAAAATTCATTTCATACACGCAATACATGTATTCTTTATGTATTCCTGTTAATCCTATCAATACCTTGGTTAAAAAGTAAATAAAAAAGAGTAAAGTTATGACAAATATATAACATAAAATGGTGCTGTATCCAGCTCTGTTAAGGTATTTGTTATAAATTGCTTATATTTGGTTATTGGTGTATGGTTATTCCCCTATTATAAAAACCTGATATACATACGAGGTTTCCAAATAACTTTATAGCCTTACATTAATTAGGCATTACTGAAATAAATAGGTACAACTAATATAAGTTAATATAACTTTTTGGTTTATTTTCTGGTGTATCTGTTCACAATTTTCCAAATCATTTGATGACCCTAAAGCTCTTTAAAAAATGTGTTGAGCTAGCAGGTAATGTGGTAGATGCAACGGTAGATGAACAGATCCACGAGAGCAAGAAAATTTGTGATAAATGCTTCAATGAAAATGTAAAAAAACTACTACAATCATCTCAATAAACTGTAAAGTAATATAAAAAATACATACACTGCACCTATCGAGTAAGTATTAATTTAACATAATGTATGCATAGATTCCTAAATTAAATATGAATTATAAATTAGCCATGATATAATAATAAAAAATATGTAGCCTTGATACCTGAGTGTCAGGGCACTTGCTTTTAATTCAATGTGCTTTAGCAACCTGAGTTCAAATCCCGGTGCTAGCATTAATCGGAGCATGTAATATATCATCAATCGGTTATTGACGGTTTTGTTTTGTAACAAAATCAATATCAAAGCCTAGCTTTTACTCTTATTATAAACTTTTTATTGGAAAACACGATAAGTAGTGAGTTTGATAAATCTATTTTATATAACCAGTTAATTCCATATATTTTTAACCTTGAAAACTGGATTGACACAAATATTAATGAAACATTTGTCTCAGGATGATGTAAGAGAAATGTTATTTATGTTTTAATTTGTGTATCTTTTTTATTTCAGAGTCTTCAATAATTTTGGGAGTGTATTTTGAAAACCTTTTACCATCTACATACCAACTAACTGCACTACCCGTAACAGGTAAAAATTATATTTTTTTATTTTGAAAGAAAATCTACTGTATTTAAAAATATATATAAATATTACTTACTAAAACTTGATGCCAATTTGGATTTACATTCTTTATTAAAAATATAGTGTATAGTTAAAAAGCAAATAACTTTTAATACTAAAAGATAGGCAGAAGAGAAGGTAAAAATAATATTTAACTATTTGTATTAGCACTTTCAAGAAGGTTTGTTTGGCTACTCCAAACTATTAAGATTATTCAACATTATTCTTAATTTATTCGATTGTGTTGTTGACATGTAAAGACGAAGAATTATGTATATAATAATACAATGTGATCTTATTTTAAATATCTCATAACTCTAATACCGAAGAAATGACATACTGTACATTATACTGACATACTAAGAGTATTGGTGCCTTTAATAGTATCGATCCCAAAAATTTAATTCAGTCATTATTAACAGTAATAAACTTATATATTTTTTTAAATTGCTACTTAAAACTATTCTACTTATGAACCAAATTAGCAAATCACTGATATTATGGACGATGGTAAGTGTCATGCTTGCTGCAGGAAAAATCATATTCCATGCCGCACTGTATTTAAAACTTCCATAATTCGAAATTATGTGTGGCAATCCACTTTGCTCATCATTCTGAGATAGT